TGGTTCGTGTCGCGACTCGAATGTGGCCCTAAATTGTCCAGGACGAAGATTCGAGCTGTCTCGACTCGTGCGCGGACTGAACTGACCTCGAACTAAGCCGCCGTTTCTGTCTTCCGTCGGAGCAACGCGAAAGGGGTGGCGTGTGTAGGGGATGAAGGGTCCGAGGGTGGGGAACGGAGGCGCGCGCAGACCCTCGAATGCGTATGCGTTAGGGTAATCGCTAGTACACTCGGCTGCAACGGAGGCTTCCTTTTCATAACTACACATATGTAAACTTCAGCGATTCTTTAATTGTACTTTTTTTGAAATTTTACATTTTTTAACTTTCATATTTTGAAATTTATAAATATAGGTGTTTATACAATTATTCTGATTCTCCAAATATTTGTGATGCTTTCAAATTTTTAAGGTTTTAATTCTCAAGGTGCTAAGCTTCAAATCTTGAAAATTTTTTCAAATTTATGAATTCACAAATTTTTAAAGTTTTAATTTGTTAAATTCTCAGATTTATAAGTTTTTTTTAGATTGTAAAAAATTTGAGTTCACTATACACGAAATCGTAAATTGGATATGATTTCAAATAGGTTTACAAATTTCTATATTGATAGAGATCTATGTTTTCAAATTTCTAAGTTCTGAGATTTCTAGATTTTCAAATGCCTAGATTTCCAAAGACCTAGGGAATTTTCCTGGATTTCCATATCTCAAAAATTCCTAAATCTTCGAATTTCTATACTGAAATTTCTGAATTTTTATAATTTCCAAATTTCTAAATTCACAAATTTCTAAATTGTCAAATACTCAAATTTTTCTAAATATCCAAATTTCCAAAAGTCTGAATTTAGAAACTCTGAAATTTGCAAATTTTCTCATTTTTAAATCCACAAATTTGTAAGTTTTTAAATTGCTAAATTTCCAAATCCCTAAATTCATCAGATTCCTAAATTTTCCAAATTCCAAATTTCCCAAATTCCAAATTTCCCAAATCTCAAATATCCCCAATCCCAAATTTCCCGAATCTCAAATTTCCCAAATCCCAAATTTTCCAAATCCCAAATTTCCTAAATCCCAAATTTCCCAAATCCCAAATTTCCCTAATCCCAAATTCCCCAAATTCCAAATTTTCCAAGTCCCAAATTTCCCAAATCCCAAATTTTCCAAGTCCCAAATTTCCCAAATCCCAAATTTCCCAAATCCCAAATTTCCCAAATCCCAAATTTCCCAAATCCCAAAAATCCCAAATCCTAAACTTCCTGCAAATCCCAAAAATCCCAAAATCACAGAAATCACAAAAATCCCAGAAATCCCAGAAATCCCAGAAATGCCAAAAATCCCTAAAAATCTCCAAATCCCTAAAGATCCCAAAATTCTCAAATCCTAAAATTCCCAAGTTCCAAAATCCAGAAATCCTATAACTCCCAAACTACCAATCAACCTTAAACCCCTTATCCTCCCCCAAATTATTTAATCTCAAAAAATCCCTAAATCTCCCGAACTTACATTTCACCTTTCCCTTAATTTCCATCTTTTCCCCAAAGAAAAGTTACATTTGTTGTTGACTGTACATCGGTTATATGCACGTCGGCCTTTTGAAAGGGGACGTGGTTTTTTGGATGACTCCGAGCACCGATTTTTTTTCGTAGCCTGTGTTCCTGATTGTCTCTTTGTTTCTTCCACATTTTTTTCCTCTTTTTTTCTGTTATATATACATATACATATATATTGTATATGTGTACGTATAGATAGGAGCAAGCTGCGGGGAATTTACCTGGATTCAGCCGGATATTTTGCAGCGTTAACCACGAATGCTACGCGAAGGTGCTTCTGCAAAGTTTCACATCTCGTTTCTGCAAGAGCGTGGACGTTTTGTTTGTTCGCGCAGATTACCGTCGGTTTTTTTGTCAGGACCACCCCAAGTTATTACGTAACGGGGAACGTAAGTTTCGTTTGCGTTTATTTCCAGATTTTCGGCCGCCACTGTAATTACGTTTCTCGGACGTTACGATACGTTAATCTTTGGAACTTTGCAGTTAGGGACTTTTGCCGCTTAGAAAGGATTGTGGAGAATCTGTAGATAATTGCGCGATTTATGGACTGTGAATTTGGTAGAACTAAATAATATCAATTAATATTAAACAATATTATCATTGAATAATAATATTGAACTATTATTTAACGTTTAATAATATCAATTAATATTAAACGATATCAACATTGAATAATAATATTGATTATTATTTAACGTTAAATAATATCAGTTAATATTAAACAATATCAACATTGAATAATAATATTGATTATTCTTTAACGTTAAATAATATCAATTAATATTAAACAATATCAATATTGAATAATAATATTGAATTATTATTTAAGGTTAAATAATATCAATTAATATTACACAATATCATCATTGAATAATAATATTGAATAATTATTTAAGGTTAATTAATATCAATTAATATTAAACAATATTAACATTGAATAATAATATTAAATTATTATTTAACGTTAAATAATATCAATTAATATTAAACAATATCAATATTGAATAATAGCATTGAATTATTAATTAACGTTAAATAATTTCAATTAATATTAAACAGTACCAACATTGAATAATAATATTGTATTATTATTCAACGTTAAATAATATCAGTTAATATTAAACAATATCAATATTGAATAATAATGTTGAATCATTTTTATGAATTAGAATACTGAAATAGTAAAACAGTGAAATGACAACACAATGCAATTGTAAAGTAATAAAATAGTCAGATGAAAAAGTAACAAAATAATGAAATAGCAACACAGTAAAATTGCAAGGTAATAAACTAATGTGATAGTAAAATAACAAAGTAGTAAAGTAGTAAAATAATAAAAGAGTTAAACAGTAAAATAATAAAGTAGTAAATAGAGAAACAGTAAAATGTTAACCTAATAAAACAGTAAAGTAGTGAAGTATTTAAACAACCAATGAAACAGTAAAATAGTGAAGTATTTAAATAGTCAATGAAACAGTAAAATAGTGAAATATTTAAATAGTCAATGAAACAGTAAAATAGTGAAGTATTTAAATAGTCAATAAAACAGTAAAATAGTGAAGTATTTAAGAAACCAATAAAACAGTAAAGTAGTGAAATATTTAATTAACCAATAAAACAGTAAAATAGTGAAGTATTTAAACAACCAATAAAACAGTAAACTAGTGAAGTATTTAAACAACCAGTAAAACAGTAAACTAGTGAAGTATTTAAACAACCAAATAGTGAAATGGTAATATTCGATTTTCGTCCAAATATCAAATTTGTGTAACATATATATTAACCTAATTTAACCTAAAATTTTTAACCTGCATCTCGTAACCTAAAAAACCTATTAAACCATTTAAACTCATTTAAATATATATTATACCATAAAACTGCTATCCAAATGCTATTATTATAATAATATTAAAAGTGTTAAATTTACGTATCGTATAATCATCCTTTTACACCAGGGAAAAATAAATAGAATTATTTCTGAAATTTAAACATTGCGACGACGAAAAAGTGAACTCAATTACGTGCTCGAAATCCTTTCTAACGCTCCATTACTTCGTGCTTATGGTTGTTATCCTGTCGAGTGGGATTGTAGTCGTTTGCATAAAGAACAACGAAAAGAAAACATCCTGCTGTTAAAGTACAAATTACGGCCAGCCACATTTCACGGTTAGCAATAATCAACAATAATCCTCGCGTTTGAATTCTTTGTCTTTGATTATGCACGTGGAAATCGAATTTATTTTTATTCTCTCGTTGGACGGACGCAAATTTATGTTAGACATTGTGTAACGTTTTTAAAAGAATTCATCTGCGATCTTTTATTTTTCATTTTTCTGTGCAATGTTTTAATTTAAATCACCCGATGACTAACAGATTATTCGTTTTTATATAGCAATAACCGAGAAGAATAGAGGAACAAATTTCCAATTAAAACTTTGTTTAATATTCGTGTATTTTAAAAAGAAAAATAGGCAATATTTACGCGGACAAATTTTTACTGTATTTTTATGGTAACTCGTTTGTAGTTTATTAATTTTTATGAAGTTTGTTGTTGGTTGTTTGGTGAAGAGTTGTTTTTGTGAGATTAATTTTTTAAGTCTGAATCAATATATTCTATTTAATGGGAGACTTTATGAATTTTAACGACACTAGGGTTGGAAGAATTTTGGGGATATAGGGATCTAAGATTGGTGGATATAGGAATCTAACGACAAGGAATCTGGATATGTTTAGAGCTAGGAATCTAAGGATCTAGAAATTTACAAATCTAAGTATGTATGAACCCAGGAATCCAGAAACCTTGAAATCTGGAAATACCTAAATCCCTAAATCCCCAAATACTAAAATTCCCAAATCCTTAAATTCTCAAATTCCTAAACCTTCAAATACTAAAATTCCCAAATACCAAAGTTTCCAAATTACAAAATCCCCAAATTCTTAATTTCCAAAATATCAAAACGCCCAAATCCCAAAATCCCTCAGTTTCTAAATTCCCAAATCTCAAAACGTCCAAATCCCAAAATCCCCAAGTTCCTAAATTCCAAAATTTCAAAATCCGCAAATACCAGAATTCTCAAATCCCTAAATTCCCAAATCCGGAAATCCCCAAATACTAAAATTCCCAAATCCCTAAATTCCCGAATCTTTAAATCTCCAAATTCCTAAATTCCCAAATCCCTAAATTTTCAAATAGCAAAATTTTCAAATACCGAAGTTTCCAAATCACAAAATCCCCAAATCCTTAATTTTCAAAATATCAAAATTCCCAAATCCCAAAATCCCCAATTTCCTAAATCCCCAAA